TTTTACTTACACACACACACACACACACACACACACACAAAAGTATTATTATTCCCTAAGAGATTAATTCTATTAAATAAATCTTTAGGTGAGTGATAAGAGTTTGCGTCTCCCTGAGTCACTTTATAATGTTCCGCCTAAATTTACTCTCTCTGAATTTCGAGTCTACGTTTTTCCAATACTAGCATCTCTGGCGTCATATCATGCACATTTGGAACCTTATTTACAACAGAGTCTAATAAAATGTTTAGAGGTAAGATATATATTTTACATAGATTAATAAAGATTATAATGCATGAAAAAGACTTTCTTGAGAATCTTTAGAAATATGATTGGAATGAAATAAAGAATACAATTAATTTTTAGGTTGGTTTGACAGCAAAGTGCGCAAGTCAATGTGTAACCAGTCTTACAATCTGCACATTAGAAATGCGTGACGCAATGAATAAACTTTTGTCTGAAGTATTGTTAAATTTATCCAAAATTTCTGCAACCGTCTATATTGCTATACCTATTATAGAATTTTTATCAAGTATGTCTTCTGTCTTATCAAAATATATTTAATATATTTTAACTTATTTTAATTTGTTAGATTTATTAAAAATTGTTATATTGTGTGATGGACAAATATTAACTATAAATATAAATTTCTGTTGTAGCGTTAACTAGACTTCCGAAAGTTTTTGCCAGCTTTATTGGAGATCAGTATATGTCTGTATTTGCAATATTATTGCCGTATACTAACCCTTTTAAATATAATCATTATACTGTCTCTCTAGCTTACCATGTAATTGCAGTATGGTTTTTAAAATGCAGACTTCCCTTTCGGAGAGATTTTGTTAAATTTATTACTACAGTTTGTATATTTATATTAATATGTTAATCAGTTTCCACGGATACTGAAAACAAAATTGTTTTCCTAATCTTTTTTTTTACTTTTGTGAAACAGGGATTGAAAGCAAATGTGATCATTCCTCTTGAAGAAGGACATTTAATGAAATCTGATTTTAGTGTCATTAATGAAGATTCCTCGAATAGAAAACGTAGTTCCAGTTTGACTGAACAAGTAGGAATAAAAATCTATGATAATTATATTTATCAAAATGTTTTTTAATAATGTGCGTGCGTGCCTGCACGCGTATTAAAATTATGTGTGTGAATTTCTTAGAATTTCTTATATGCATGTGCATGCCTATCTTTTTCTTCATACTTATGTAATATAAATTGAATAA